AGGCAGGGGGGGGGGGGGGCAAGGACTTCATGCTTAATCTAATGAACCCTGTCTGTCCTGTGCTTTCTGTCCTGTACTGGCAGATCTGAAATACATTTTTTTATTTTATATTCGGACATATAAAAATTTGTTATCAGAATGTATGGCGGCCATCTTGGAGGCGGGGTGCATAACGTCACTTGACGCCACACGTGTTTGGCTTTGGGTGACATTATACGCAGAATGAGCAGCAGCCAGACCGGCCACCAGCGTGTTCTGCGCATGCGTGCCGCCATTTTGGAGTATATCTTGGTATACACCAAGCTGGCGACGCACACATATATGGGTTCCCGCCATCTTGGTGTATACCAAAATATACACCACAATGGCACCACGCATGTGCAGAACGTGGTGGCGGCCAATACGGCCGCCGCTCGTTCTGCAGTTTCTTTGTGCGGTTTCGGATTGGGAGGCTCGTTGCCTCCGAATCGGAAACAGCATTAAAATTAGTTTCCATTTACGAAACAAATGAAAATGTTTTTCATTTTCATTTGTTTCGTCCAAAATTAATTTATTTGCCCTGCACATGTCTAGTTATAAACTAGATTTGAACACTGTGTGCCCTAAGAAAGGGTTAAAGATCCTGAAGCATTGTATGTTAATGAGAGGAAGCTCAGCGTTTCCCTATTCTTTCTATAGGGACAGCCAGAGTTTCCTGTCACTTTGAAATTGTAGAGAGAAGCTTGCAGTCTGTCCAAAGGCCTGCTCAACATAAACATCTAAAAAGTAAGAAATATTTTTTAAATATTTATTTTTAGGTATGATGTGTGAATAGGAACACGTAACAAACATATCGAGGGATGTACTCAACGTGTATCCAAACCTCTGTCATTGTCCTTAGTGGTGAGACATGTTGTTTTACATGCTGGTTTTGTGAGTGTGCCATGATGCCTTTCTGCTGTTTTAATGTACTCAAATATGTCTGCAAAAGTTGAAATACACTTTAGGCCAGGTTCAAACCTGGGCGATCCGTGACCGCGCAGCAATCGTGCACGATAACGCGTCGATTGCCGTGCGGTCACGGAGACGCCCATCACAATCGATCGCAGTGGCGGTGCCATTATTTTCTAATAATAATGCACGATTTTTCCCGTGCAATCGAAAACAAGACAACGGCTTAAACAGCCGTGCGACGTGTGTTGCAAAAAAAGGGTCATGTACCTTTTTTTCTGCGATTGCCGTGTGGATGTAACCCCATTGAAATCAATGGGGCCGCGCAGCAATCGCTGTGTGCAATTGTACATGACCCGCGTCCCGGATCGCCCAGGCACCAGCCCTTAAGTTCTCCCACGTGTTGTGCAGTTCACTGATATCCTTTTGTGAAATTACTAGCCTAACAAGGCCAATTTATACTTCCTTATTAGAATGGCACCTAATAAGAAAGTTTACTACCTCCATATTAAGCCAATTGCATCACAGGGGTGGGGATTCCCATCACATGACTTCATGCAATGTTGAAAGGAGGATTCCCATTGCATATCGACAAAGTCATCCATAAGGAGGGAACCCCTGCTCTCCTCTATGACACACTTCTTCTATAGGGGAATGAGCTCCCATGGACCACTCTTCACTAACAATCCAGGAAAAATAACTATTTGACCACTAGAGTAAAGTCTATTCCTTATATTATTTGCTCATTTCTAATCACTAGTTCCTGTTACAAGACTTGGTCTATTGTACCTTTGACACCATGAAGCAAAATATAGTTATAATCATTATAGCATACGATTTACACTTATATTCAGAGAGTTAACTAAACAGTAATAGAGCCCATAGCTCAACTAGACGTGCCATCTCACCTTGCCACCGAACACAGGTACATTAACAGACGTGCCACCTCCTTCACTGAGCACCATGACGCATCCCAAGCTGAACTATCTGTGGTCACTTGGATTATGGCCCTGCCCATCTTGTCCCGGCTTCCTAGGATCACAATATTCAGAATTAAACATTTATCATAACTCCACCTCATTCTATATGCCATGCTCTACATCCCTATTCTACACTGCCTCATTCTATATCCCATGCTGTACGTTCCCTATTCCACACCACCTTATCCCATATGCCATGCTGTATGTTTCCTAGTCCATGCTGCCTCATCTATACACCTTGTTGTACATGTTATATTCCACACTGCCTCATTCTGTACACTGTGCTGTACATTCTTTATTCTGCCCCAACCTTACAGGCTCAGCAGCTTTAGTTTGTATGTGTGTATCTGGGTGTGCCAGGGGTTTCAGATATTTGGACATGGGCACAATTTAACTCTTTGCCATAGGCACTATTTACCATAAATACACCCAGACACGTCTGTTCTGATAGGGATAGAATATAGTAAATAACAGAACAAATAGTGATCCCTGAGAGGCATCGCTGCACTGCTATATGTTTTCGAGGGTGGACATTCAAATATTTAAATTGTCTATTTGAGAGTGTTTCTTCTTAAAGTGGTTCTCTGCGTTTTTTGTTGGTAAACACCAGCAGGCAAACTTGAATACATACCTGGAAGACATGCAATTCCAGAATAGAGTAACTTGGCACTGAGATCCTGACACTGTATAGGAGGATCATTAATGATCTCCCAAGGAATGGTCCCTCTAGATGGAGAGCCTACAATGGAAACCCACAGACCGGTTTTTGATGGCACTTTCTGCACTGATGATGTCACCTCGATACCTGGGGTGGCATTCACTGCTGATCCTGTGGGAGGAAGCAAAGTGCTGTTAGTATATATCACCATGAAAATTAAAAAATAAACATTTATTACATAAGTCCTTTACTGTGGAAGCTAAAGAAGGCAAGCAGAGGACAAAGGACTAGTCACCAGTGTTGCCTGTGGTATCTTTTCATCAACACTGAACTACCATGCCTTGTTCCATATTGTGCCTTTGTGTGAAGGCATCTATCCTGGTAGACCCAGGGCTTTGACTCTTCATAGTAGAGCTGCCCCCTGATCAGGGGCATCCCGAGGCTGAGTGACACCCGGAGCAGAGACCGGGTGACATCCCGCCATGACATCAACGCGCATGCACAGTCGTCTTACTGACGCCTGCCGGTGGCCATCTTGGTGATGGACGCTGGCAGAGAGAGGAGGGAACGTTTACCGGGCGGGTTGAGGTATGCCGCCAGGTCCCCTCCTCTCCGTGACCGAGTGCCTGACTTTTTATAGGGGGTGGCACCATAATGATTGACAGTCATTTTGGTGTCACCCTGCCAATGCAGCACCCCCACTTGTGACGCCACTGCCCCTGATGACTGGTGATTTAATGACTGTTAGCATAAAGACCAAGAAGCAGAGAAAGAGTTGGAGGGAGCACAAATCCACAGAATGAAAGAAGCAGAAGCAGGGAGATACTTCAACTGCAGCTCCTCAGATGCAGTTGCCTCTCCAGCAAGGCAAAGAGTGGAAAATAATGACCAATAAACCTCACTCCAATTCTCCTGAGACTAGCAGTCAGAGGCAGACGTGTCTTAGATGATCTCACACACAGATATAGAGCTATTAGGCTACAGAACAGGAGTGTCTAGGCTCATTCACATGCTGGTAAGTGTACAGCTATTTTTCTGGAGGAATGCAAGACAAACGGTAGATCTTTAAGGGTACTGCTCTGCTCCAGTCAACAATACTAGACGTTCCCCATAAGACAGCAATTCTTCATTTTTTGAGTTCAGGGCCACTTTAAAACTTTCATTAAGGGCTCTCAGCTGAAAGGTTATGAAGTAAACGTAATTCCCTTAGCCACCATAGTGCTTGATGCTATTAAAAGCAGCCACAGTGGAAACCCCAATTCAGTAGAATGATCCTTCTGTGTCACAGAAATATGTTATGCTTTTGGGGGTCACAGAGGGTCATGGGCTATTTCTATACTGTTTGAGGATCTGATTCCTGAAAAAATACACATAGTTCACACTCTGCAAGTTCCCAAGAGTATTACCAATAATAAATGGCACCGGCTATAGTCTCATATATGAAATGGACGATAACATTTTACGAAACTGTGGCTGACATGTTCCTGGTTTAGCAGGCATATGTTGCTTTTGGAATTATATTTAGATAGCATTCATGCAGCATACAGTGCATATATGAACCATGTGCGATATCATTTAATGTGTACATTCTTATTTTTAGAGCCAGTGTACGGAGGCCTTTCAGATGCAATTGAGATGTGTTTACCATGTGTTTACCATGCAGTCACTTTGACAGGTATGGAGGAAGAAAAGCAAAGCAGAAACTGTTCTCAGTCTGACCGAGGGGAAACTTCAGCAGACTGGTCATCACAGTATTATGGCCGGGGATCCACTTTAACGGATCAAAGACGTCCAAGGACAATAGTCCTGAGGCTAATTATCGGATATTATTGGTTTTATTTTTTAATAGACATGTGCGAAATTCGGACACATCCGAATTTCCGAATCCCAATGCATCCAAATGTGTGCGAATCCTAATTTTCGATTCCAAATTTCGGACCCCGTCCAAATTTCGTTCAAAAAAGAAACTGAATCGGACATGTGAATTTTCTGGCCAATCAGATGTGTTTTTTGGTTTAATGCATCCGAATGGGTCTGAACACAAATTTTAATTACGGCAACATGGGAGCCATATATATACGTATAATACTAAAGCTGAGGCTCCTAGACCCGAATGGCATTCGGGATCCAAATTTCCGAATTGCATTCGGGAGTTCCCAAATGCCTTTCGGGTCTGGAAGCCATATACATATATTACTAAAGCTGAGGCTCCCAGACCCAAATAGCATTCGGGAGCTCCCAAATGCAATTTGGAAATTCGGATCCCGAATGCCATTCAGGTCTAGGAGATTCAGCTTTAGTATTAATATTTGTATATGGTTTTCTGTGGTAGTCGCAATGAATATTAATTCGTAAACTTATCCTAAACTAACGAAAATCCGGATTTCGTCCAAATCGGAAACACCGAACCGAATTGAATTTCGGACCCGAATCCCGAACTAACAAAATATCCAAACTGAATCTAATTTTTACGCAGCTTACTTGTCTATTATTTAACAGTGGAGAGCACATCACAACAATGGAGTTAGTGGTAATCTCCAGCCAGGTATGAAAAAAAAAATGTTTTTCTATTTCGGTGTAGCCGACCCAATGTTAGTTTGGGGTGGAGCTTGCTGGGTCAGTAGCTTAAAGAAGTTCCGAGCCGGCCAACTGTCACAGCACTCCCTCCAGCCTGTCTCCTCCTATGCTGCAGCATGCAGTTTCTCAGCGTCCTCACGTCCTATACACTGTGTATAGAGCATGATGATTTACTGGACCTGACACCGCTGCAGTGGAGGGGGAGAGAGGCTGGAGGGACCGATCTAAGAACAAGCCGGCTCCATGGTTCAGCTGAGTATAACTTTTTTTTTTAACCTAGACAAAAAAGAGCAGTTAACCCTTGCAGTGCGGGGGTAGCCCGACTGCAAGGGTTAATACTATTTTTTTCTGGATTTCTGTCAGCCATTTAAAACTTTAAAAAAATAAATGTCCAAAGTAAAAGCAGGTAGCCCAGTATATTGCACTCAAAAAACCCTGACTATCCTTCATAGCATGTGATTCCTGATAGTCAGTTGTAAAAATTAAATTTCACATTTAGGGGAAATAGGACATTTATGGAACATGATTGAATAATTAATGTTAGCTTCATTAAGCAAACAGGAAAATAACCACCGAATCAAACATGTATGTGGCATAGATGCCTTCTTTGTTTTCAGTCTTTGTCTGCAGTTACAGTGCAAACTGCAGACAAGCTTACTGTAAAAATGGCCAGGGCCTAGGATGACAGCCTTCAAAAACACAAGGAAAAATAAAGACAGAGGTAAGCTAAAAGGTTTACCTTTTAATGTGCTAAACCACAACCAAGATTCAAGCTTAGGCACCCAGAGGGTTAGCCAGAAACTTGGTTTGGCTACATACCCATTTAGCCTAAAGCTTGACGAGTACAGTGATGCAAATACAGACTCTAAAATCTGCTGTACATAAAAATCCAAGGGTTGGCTCAGCCCATCAGGCTCCAGCTGGAACTAATGTACTACTTTTGAATGGACTGACCCTTTAATTAAATATCCCGCAAACAATTTTTTAACCCCTGCCAGATAAAATGGGGAAGGATTGGAGGTTCTGCATTTTTATCACTCGCTGTGGAGAGATTTTCCACTACTTCTTCTCCTGGAGACACATCAGGATGTGAGAAGATATTTCAGCAATGTGAGGGGAAAGCCCACCTTTGACAGCCGCCACATTGTCATTCTCCTCTTCCAGCAGTTGTAAAATTTCAGGAATGTGAGCATAAGACTGGCCAGCTGGGCCAAACAACTAAAAAAAAAGCTAAAATTCTAACCTTTCCTAAGGCTAAAATAAGGAAAAACGCTTGGCTGGAGCTCCACTTTAAGGCATTGATCTGTGCCTTTGTACTAAACCATACACCAAGACAATAATATTACAGTGAAGACGTGTATCCAAACCTCTGTCATTATCCTTAGTGGTGAGACATGTTGTTTTACATGCTGGTTTTGTGAGTGTGCCATGATGCCTTTCTGCTGTTTTACTGTTCAAAGCCCATTTCGTGTGCACCTTACTGTATAACTGGTAACAAATTGTTGAGTGCGTTTGTCGTTTGTTTTGCTTGACTGATTTGGTGCAGCGACGCATGGTGTTTCTCAGCTGCCAATAGGATGTGCGGGATCCCTTGTGTGTTTCTGTACCTTTAAGGCGGTTGGGCGTCCTCCTGACAAACCTGCACCCAATTTGATATCTTCTGCCCCCATGTGCTCCAAGATGCAGACTCTCATAGTTTAGAGTTAGGACCGCACTATAAGAGGTGCCTTGGCGCGGCAGTGCGTCTTACACATCCTCGGCTGAAGACGTGTATCCAAACCTCTGTCATTGTCCTTAGTGGTGAGACATGTTGTTTTACATGCTGGTTTTGTGAGTGTGCCATGATGCCTTTCTGCTGTTTTAATGTACTCAAATATGTCTGCAAAAGTTGAAATACACTTTAGGCCAGGTTCAAACCTGGGCGATCCGTGACCGCGCAGCAATCGTGCACGATAACGCGTCGATTGCCGTGCGGTCACGGAGACGCCCATCACAATCGATCGCAGTGGCGGTGCCATTATTTTCTAATAATAATGCACGATTTTTCCCGTGCAATCGAAAACAAGACAACGGCTTAAACAGCCGTGCGACGTGTGTTGCAAAAAAAGGGTCATGTACCTTTTTTTCTGCGATTGCCGTGTGGATGTAACCCCATTGAAATCAATGGGGCCGCGCAGCAATCGCTGTGTGCAATTGTACATGACCCGCGTCCCGGATCGCCCAGGCACCAGCCCTTAAGTTCTCCCACGTGTTGTGCAGTTCACTGATATCCTTTTGTGAAATTACTAGCCTAACAAGGCCAATTTATACTTCCTTATTAGAATGGCACCTAATAAGAAAGTTTACTACCTCCATATTAAGCCAATTGCATCACAGGGGTGGGGATTCCCATCACATGACTTCATGCAATGTTGAAAGGAGGATTCCCATTGCATATCGACAAAGTCATCCATAAGGAGGGAACCCCTGCTCTCCTCTATGACACACTTCTTCTATAGGGGAATGAGCTCCCATGGACCACTCTTCACTAACAATCCAGGAAAAATAACTATTTGACCACTAGAGTAAAGTCTATTCCTTATATTATTTGCTCATTTCTAATCACTAGTTCCTGTTACAAGACTTGGTCTATTGTACCTTTGACACCATGAAGCAAAATATAGTTATAATCATTATAGCATACGATTTACACTTATATTCAGAGAGTTAACTAAACAGTAATAGAGCCCATAGCTCAACTAGACGTGCCATCTCACCTTGCCACCGAACACAGGTACATTAACAGACGTGCCACCTCCTTCACTGAGCACCATGACGCATCCCAAGCTGAACTATCTGTGGTCACTTGGATTATGGCCCTGCCCATCTTGTCCCGGCTTCCTAGGATCACAATATTCAGAATTAAACATTTATCATAACTCCACCTCATTCTATATGCCATGCTCTACATCCCTATTCTACACTGCCTCATTCTATATCCCATGCTGTACGTTCCCTATTCCACACCACCTTATCCCATATGCCATGCTGTATGTTTCCTAGTCCATGCTGCCTCATCTATACACCTTGTTGTACATGTTATATTCCACACTGCCTCATTCTGTACACTGTGCTGTACATTCTTTATTCTGCCCCAACCTTACAGGCTCAGCAGCTTTAGTTTGTATGTGTGTATCTGGGTGTGCCAGGGGTTTCAGATATTTGGACATGGGCACAATTTAACTCTTTGCCATAGGCACTATTTACCATAAATACACCCAGACACGTCTGTTCTGATAGGGATAGAATATAGTAAATAACAGAACAAATAGTGATCCCTGAGAGGCATCGCTGCACTGCTATATGTTTTCGAGGGTGGACATTCAAATATTTAAATTGTCTATTTGAGAGTGTTTCTTCTTAAAGTGGTTCTCTGCGTTTTTTGTTGGTAAACACCAGCAGGCAAACTTGAATACATACCTGGAAGACATGCAATTCCAGAATAGAGTAACTTGGCACTGAGATCCTGACACTGTATAGGAGGATCATTAATGATCTCCCAAGGAATGGTCCCTCTAGATGGAGAGCCTACAATGGAAACCCACAGACCGGTTTTTGATGGCACTTTCTGCACTGATGATGTCACCTCGATACCTGGGGTGGCATTCACTGCTGATCCTGTGGGAGGAAGCAAAGTGCTGTTAGTATATATCACCATGAAAATTAAAAAATAAACATTTATTACATAAGTCCTTTACTGTGGAAGCTAAAGAAGGCAAGCAGAGGACAAAGGACTAGTCACCAGTGTTGCCTGTGGTATCTTTTCATCAACACTGAACTACCATGCCTTGTTCCATATTGTGCCTTTGTGTGAAGGCATCTATCCTGGTAGACCCAGGGCTTTGACTCTTCATAGTAGAGCTGCCCCCTGATCAGGGGCATCCCGAGGCTGAGTGACACCCGGAGCAGAGACCGGGTGACATCCCGCCATGACATCAACGCGCATGCACAGTCGTCTTACTGACGCCTGCCGGTGGCCATCTTGGTGATGGACGCTGGCAGAGAGAGGAGGGAACGTTTACCGGGCGGGTTGAGGTATGCCGCCAGGTCCCCTCCTCTCCGTGACCGAGTGCCTGACTTTTTATAGGGGGTGGCACCATAATGATTGACAGTCATTTTGGTGTCACCCTGCCAATGCAGCACCCCCACTTGTGACGCCACTGCCCCTGATGACTGGTGATTTAATGACTGTTAGCATAAAGACCAAGAAGCAGAGAAAGAGTTGGAGGGAGCACAAATCCACAGAATGAAAGAAGCAGAAGCAGGGAGATACTTCAACTGCAGCTCCTCAGATGCAGTTGCCTCTCCAGCAAGGCAAAGAGTGGAAAATAATGACCAATAAACCTCACTCCAATTCTCCTGAGACTAGCAGTCAGAGGCAGACGTGTCTTAGATGATCTCACACACAGATATAGAGCTATTAGGCTACAGAACAGGAGTGTCTAGGCTCATTCACATGCTGGTAAGTGTACAGCTATTTTTCTGGAGGAATGCAAGACAAACGGTAGATCTTTAAGGGTACTGCTCTGCTCCAGTCAACAATACTAGACGTTCCCCATAAGACAGCAATTCTTCATTTTTTGAGTTCAGGGCCACTTTAAAACTTTCATTAAGGGCTCTCAGCTGAAAGGTTATGAAGTAAACGTAATTCCCTTAGCCACCATAGTGCTTGATGCTATTAAAAGCAGCCACAGTGGAAACCCCAATTCAGTAGAATGATCCTTCTGTGTCACAGAAATATGTTATGCTTTTGGGGGTCACAGAGGGTCATGGGCTATTTCTATACTGTTTGAGGATCTGATTCCTGAAAAAATACACATAGTTCACACTCTGCAAGTTCCCAAGAGTATTACCAATAATAAATGGCACCGGCTATAGTCTCATATATGAAATGGACGATAACATTTTACGAAACTGTGGCTGACATGTTCCTGGTTTAGCAGGCATATGTTGCTTTTGGAATTATATTTAGATAGCATTCATGCAGCATACAGTGCATATATGAACCATGTGCGATATCATTTAATGTGTACATTCTTATTTTTAGAGCCAGTGTACGGAGGCCTTTCAGATGCAATTGAGATGTGTTTACCATGTGTTTACCATGCAGTCACTTTGACAGGTATGGAGGAAGAAAAGCAAAGCAGAAACTGTTCTCAGTCTGACCGAGGGGAAACTTCAGCAGACTGGTCATCACAGTATTATGGCCGGGGATCCACTTTAACGGATCAAAGACGTCCAAGGACAATAGTCCTGAGGCTAATTATCGGATATTATTGGTTTTATTTTTTAATAGACATGTGCGAAATTCGGACACATCCGAATTTCCGAATCCCAATGCATCCAAATGTGTGCGAATCCTAATTTTCGATTCCAAATTTCGGACCCCGTCCAAATTTCGTTCAAAAAAGAAACTGAATCGGACATGTGAATTTTCTGGCCAATCAGATGTGTTTTTTGGTTTAATGCATCCGAATGGGTCTGAACACAAATTTTAATTACGGCAACATGGGAGCCATATATATACGTATAATACTAAAGCTGAGGCTCCTAGACCCGAATGGCATTCGGGATCCAAATTTCCGAATTGCATTCGGGAGTTCCCAAATGCCTTTCGGGTCTGGAAGCCATATACATATATTACTAAAGCTGAGGCTCCCAGACCCAAATAGCATTCGGGAGCTCCCAAATGCAATTTGGAAATTCGGATCCCGAATGCCATTCAGGTCTAGGAGATTCAGCTTTAGTATTAATATTTGTATATGGTTTTCTGTGGTAGTCGCAATGAATATTAATTCGTAAACTTATCCTAAACTAACGAAAATCCGGATTTCGTCCAAATCGGAAACACCGAACCGAATTGAATTTCGGACCCGAATCCCGAACTAACAAAATATCCAAACTGAATCTAATTTTTACGCAGCTTACTTGTCTATTATTTAACAGTGGAGAGCACATCACAACAATGGAGTTAGTGGTAATCTCCAGCCAGGTATGAAAAAAAAAATGTTTTTCTATTTCGGTGTAGCCGACCCAATGTTAGTTTGGGGTGGAGCTTGCTGGGTCAGTAGCTTAAAGAAGTTCCGAGCCGGCCAACTGTCACAGCACTCCCTCCAGCCTGTCTCCTCCTATGCTGCAGCATGCAGTTTCTCAGCGTCCTCACGTCCTATACACTGTGTATAGAGCATGATGATTTACTGGACCTGACACCGCTGCAGTGGAGGGGGAGAGAGGCTGGAGGGACCGATCTAAGAACAAGCCGGCTCCATGGTTCAGCTGAGTATAACTTTTTTTTTTAACCTAGACAAAAAAGAGCAGTTAACCCTTGCAGTGCGGGGGTAGCCCGACTGCAAGGGTTAATACTATTTTTTTCTGGATTTCTGTCAGCCATTTAAAACTTTAAAAAAATAAATGTCCAAAGTAAAAGCAGGTAGCCCAGTATATTGCACTCAAAAAACCCTGACTATCCTTCATAGCATGTGATTCCTGATAGTCAGTTGTAAAAATTAAATTTCACATTTAGGGGAAATAGGACATTTATGGAACATGATTGAATAATTAATGTTAGCTTCATTAAGCAAACAGGAAAATAACCACCGAATCAAACATGTATGTGGCATAGATGCCTTCTTTGTTTTCAGTCTTTGTCTGCAGTTACAGTGCAAACTGCAGACAAGCTTACTGTAAAAATGGCCAGGGCCTAGGATGACAGCCTTCAAAAACACAAGGAAAAATAAAGACAGAGGTAAGCTAAAAGGTTTACCTTTTAATGTGCTAAACCACAACCAAGATTCAAGCTTAGGCACCCAGAGGGTTAGCCAGAAACTTGGTTTGGCTACATACCCATTTAGCCTAAAGCTTGACGAGTACAGTGATGCAAATACAGACTCTAAAATCTGCTGTACATAAAAATCCAAGGGTTGGCTCAGCCCATCAGGCTCCAGCTGGAACTAATGTACTACTTTTGAATGGACTGACCCTTTAATTAAATATCCCGCAAACAATTTTTTAACCCCTGCCAGATAAAATGGGGAAGGATTGGAGGTTCTGCATTTTTATCACTCGCTGTGGAGAGATTTTCCACTACTTCTTCTCCTGGAGACACATCAGGATGTGAGAAGATATTTCAGCAATGTGAGGGGAAAGCCCACCTTTGACAGCCGCCACATTGTCATTCTCCTCTTCCAGCAGTTGTAAAATTTCAGGAATGTGAGCATAAGACTGGCCAGCTGGGCCAAACAACTAAAAAAAAAGCTAAAATTCTAACCTTTCCTAAGGCTAAAATAAGGAAAAACGCTTGGCTGGAGCTCCACTTTAAGGCATTGATCTGTGCCTTTGTACTAAACCATACACCAAGACAATAATATTACAGGAACTGAACATGAAAGAGCAATGCATCACACATCCAGGATGATCCATCTATGTCAAGCCTTTGAATAACTGTCAGATGTAGCATAAAGATAGAGATCATAGATACAACATCAGCGCCGAGCGGTCAAGCTCAGTTACTGCTGTAGATAGTGCAGTCAGAAGAATACAATTAGAACATCAATGTGACTAAGGTGTTTGATGATACCATTTTTTCCCAGTAAAAATAAATGTTTTACAGTATAAAAATCCTTAAGCAGTGAAGTGACTGCAGAATCGCTGGCCAAACCAGGCAGAGGGCACAATGGAACTAATTCATCAAGCCCGAGAGACACAATACTGCACGACGGAAGGGGCAAAACGAGCCATATTATTACACGTGATATTTTTTGCTTCATCACATCGAAAAGTTTGTCAAGTGTTTCTTCAGTGAACATTAAACAGTCACGTTTCAGACACGTGACAGTATACACATTAGCAGAATATGCGTTTTGTGCCAGCGATTATTAGGGAACAAGTTCAGTCTTCTATGGCTAGGTATAGCTTAGGGTTGCCACCCGTCCGGTTTTCACCCGGACAGTCCGGTTTTGGTGTCTTGTGTCCGTTTGTCCAGCCAGCGGGCACCCGGACACAAGACACTCAGTGGCGACACCAGCACTTTTCTAACAGATGCGGCTGCCGAGGTCCTTGGCAAGTGCGATCTCGGGCAGCTGCATCGGCCTGAAACCAGATCTTCCTCTGGGATGCAGGCAGTCTGTGCCTGTTTACAGGTGCCCGCAGCTCAGAGGAAGATCCGGGTTTCAGGCAGATGTGGCCAACCGAGATTGCGCCTGCCGAGGACCCCGAAAGCCGCATCTGTGATTGCTCCTTTTTCTCCTCTTCTGGCTCCGTGACACCGTGCTGCCCGCCTGCGGACCCGTGGTGAGACACCATAGCCCAGACAGCCCTGAAGCCGCTCACCCCTCCTGAGAGTCGCACAGCCCATCTGAGAGCCCCCACAGGCCAACAGGCCACCTGGAGACATCAGGGCGCCAATTCTGGAACAACACAGAGTGCGTAGGTTCATATTATTTTGCATTGCTTAATAATGTATTGCTGGGATTTGTAGTCTCCTTACTCCCTCTCCTGGCTGCCTTTCCTCGCTCTCTCCTCTATATTCTCAAAAACAAATTGCCATGCACGGTGCTAGAGTGTTCGGGTTTCACTTGAAGAAAAGGTGTCAACACTAGAATAGCTCCTGCCTCAAGGAG